TAACTATAATACAATATTCAATTATCGATAAATTGAAAGAACTGTGGCATCTGTTGAGTAATAAAAAGAATACGTTCTGATTATGCGCGAGGTGAATCCTCGTGTGTAATAAACTCGAACTTAAGCCGAACTTGAACATTTGCACTGGGTGAAACTCGAAATTCAAGTATCGTGAGCGGTATCCTCTCAAGTGTGTCTATTTAAATCGCTTTTATTAACATTTATCAGGACTTATCAACAACGATGTTGCTGTTGCGTGCCAGCCGTCGAGTAACGACCTATTTTTAGATATCATTCGTGCAAATGTGAATATCTTGCATTTGCAAATCTTTCCGTGTCGGGGACCTCGGATGCCCGAATGCTTTTCAAACTTTGTCGCTGTCGTTGCTTGTCCACGCGCGAAACGTTTGAAGAAAAAAAACCCGCGCGAAAAGAATTACGATTGTGAAACGCAGCTTTTCCTTTGGCTTTTCTCTTGTCGTCGACCTTAAGCATCGTTCCTCGGTAAACGAACTGAAAAACAACAATTTTTAAGAGGAGCAAACTATTGTTGAATTTTACAAAAAGTTTTACAAAGCAAAAAAAAAAAAAAGAAAGGACGCAAACTGACTGAATTCTGATCGAAACGAATGGAAGTTCCACGTAACGTCATTCACGCAGAATATACATTTCTAGGGACGAATCTAAAGATATTCATTGTTATGAGAGTTGACTCTTCTTTTCTCTCTCTTTTCTTTTTTTTCTCTCTCTCTCTCTCTCCTGCTCCGATATAATTTCAAGTTGTACCGCAAGTGTAATTGTAAACAAACGTAGATAATACTGTCGCTAAATACACGCTACGATAAATCGGTGGTGCGTCTAAATTTAAAGAAAAAAAAAAGAAGACACGTCTGTCTCGCACGTTCGTGTGAATTTGTGACAAGACAAAGATGTTAGAACTACTAGAAGATTGCCATCAATCATACATATTACGCAACAATAAAAATAGTTTTTTCACGGCGAAATATAGACATATATATATATATGTATATTTACAAGTTAGCAATATACCACGTATCGAATTGATCGACATCGAACGAATTGCCAACCACTGGCCTGAACCAATGGGCCAGTTTGAAATTTATTAGCCCCATGCTGTTACGTACGTAAATTAGTTTGCGTTTGCTTTATGGCTAGGAGTTACCTTCCGATTTCTTTAACCCTCTATCGAGTATGTTTCCTATACGGCGAGTGTTTTATTCATATTCTCTTTCCCTCTTCCAAATCTTTCCTCTTCGTCGCGAATTTTCCGGGCGTAGAAGCGGCGTTTACTGGTTCTAACGATCGCTTATCGATCCGCGGCGACAAATCGATAACGAACGGCCAATTGTGTTGCTCGATCGTTCGATCGACCTGTCGACAGCCACCTCGAAAAAGATCGAATCTCTCTCGTAATAGTTTGTTGTGTGAAATTAGAAGAGATAGGGTGGGGAGCGGAGAGGATCCTAATCCACTATCGATTCTTTCGCAATCAATTCTTTCTAATTTCGGGTTCCTCCTGTCTCCGTAGAAATGTTTCTATAACCTACGACACAAATATCCTTCGAGCAGATATATCCACCGCACTTAAAACGAGCAAGAACGGTCAGCACGAAAGACCGACTCGCAACAACGCATCGTTCTTTTTTTTCCGTTTATTTGTCTTCATTTCATTTGGCTCGTCGAAACAATTGAACACCACTCCGCCCCGTTTCCGTTCGACGATAATCTTCTCTTTTTTTTTTTCTTTTTCTTTTGTAAAATTCGAATAGTAAACAATCAACGTATAATTAACACCGATGCGTTTCCACTTTTCCAGGGAACATCCTCGAATACACTGAACCGAAGCCGAAGAAGTTCTCTGCGTTCACTCGAGCGTGTTATCTTCTTTTCCTTTTTTAATTTAGAAAAGGAGGATTTAGAAAAGATAGAAGGAAGAGAGGAAGGAGTTAAACGAAGAGAGGAAAATGTAAAGAAGGAAAGGAGATGAGTCACACGTTCGACGTCCTGTTCTATTGTAAAATTTGCAATCCTCGCGATATGCATACAAGCTCAATCTCTGCCAACGTACGCGATCAGCCTCGCGTTTCTATTTTAAGTTCTGTTTCTTTTTTTTTTTCGCTTACGCGGCGTCGTAGTTGTATTCCTAGCTAATTATCGTGTTTCTGTGTTATCTGTCGTTATTGCTTATTATTACCGTACCATTAACCATACTATTGAATAATGAAATAAATTTTGCATGCAAATTCTTTATCATTTTAATACTCTCAAATGTGTATTTTCAATTTCTGGATTAATGATCTCTGCAACAAATAAAATAATCGCAACTCCTTTGTTTTGGATTTTACAAGATTTAGAATTATACATTAGATTATTATTATCTGTTAATGATGTGTACAAAAATTATGCATCTAACATTTATTTAATTTAATATTCTTCCAGTTATAACATACTTTTGATTGAAAGAGAGTATTGAAAAGATTAAAGTGGTTCAAAAAGTGAATATTAACATTTAGGTTGAAAATTGTTTTTCCTTTTTTTTTTAATAAACAAAAGATTCAAGCGTAACACAAGAATCTAGTACAAGTACCTGGAAGATAGAAGGAATTACTTGTGAATAGAGATAAAGACTCTATCAGCGTAGAATTGCAAAGACAAGACCAAGGGGTTGCACATTTTTTAAATATATTTTACAAAACGTTCTATTCGTACAGCATATAAAACAATACTCTGTATTTATTTTATATTCACACATTAGCTCTATACGACTGTACCACCATTATTCTTTCGTTATATGTAGAATATAACTTTATACAGTATTCGGCGCAATTTTCAAATGTCAGTACTATGAAAGTGCGGTGTCCTTTTGACGTGTAGTTCCAGCATGCTTCTCGCCAGTTGAAAATGCCGGTGTAGCCCTATCGAACTTCTCCGAGCTAATTATTTTAGTCGCACGTTCTCGATCGATTGTCAATTCCGTTGCATCTGAGCTCATGCCTTTGCCAAAGACCCTTCTAGGCGAGAACTCCTGCTGCTCGTTTGAACTCGTCGACGACCTGTCACGGCTGACGTGTGTGTCCTTCGCTTCCGGTTTCATCTCGCTCAACGGAAGTCTCGCAGATTTCGATGAACTCTTTAGATGCGCAATGTGATTATTGATTGAGTTCGTGCTTTTCTTATGGCCTATGTGATTATGGTGATTCGAAAATACAGAATCCGTTTTGCCTAAGAACTGGCTACCGCTATTTTCCATATTGCCGAGACCACTTGCGCCGCTAGTGCTACCAACGCTACTGCTGCTGGAAATATCCCCCATGAAGTTCCTCTCCTTGGCGCTCGTTTGCCAAAAGAAATCATCGAATATCTCTGTGTCACGTTGCTCCGGAGGTAGTCTGCTGATACGAGCCTTCACGATAGCCAAGTGTCTGTGCACGTAGTCCTGATGAGGTGCCAGAGCTGCTGCTCGTTCCAAACATTGAGCGGCTAAGCCTAACTTACCACGCTCCACCATCACGACGCACAAGTTATGAAGACCTTGGATATTTGTTGGATCTAGCTGCAGTATTCTCCGATAACACTGCGAATCGTTTAAAAGAAAGAAAGAAAAAAAAAAAA